ATAAATGAGTACACAGAACAAGGATTGCAGCCTTCAGTATGGATTACACACTCAATGTCAAGAAACCCCAATTCTCCCAGTTGGACCCATAGGTAACATCAATGACAGATGGAGAAAAGTTTGAAGTTCCAAGGATTTCCTCTTGCTTGGGCCCACTGTCAGTGCTCACGGGAGCAGCCGTCAAGAGATCAAATGATGCCTGGCCTTAGGTAAACCTGCTGTCCAAGACCTCTCTCTGTAAAGCGTTGAAACGTCAGGATGTCCCGTTGAGGACTAGCGTACGTTGGACTCAAGCCGTGGTATTTCTAATCACCTCCCGTGCCTGTGCAAGTCGGACCTTGCGTGAAGAGGACCGAAGAAGCATAAATGCTTTTGAATTCTGTTGCTGGCAAAGACTATCGGACGTCCCATGGACTGCCGAAGGAACAAACAAACCTGGTTTGGAAGTTCGACCAGAATGCTCCCTAAAGGCAAGGATGGAGAAACTTTGTCGCATGTACTGTGGACACGATAGGAGAGCCCAGTCCCTGGAGAGGGACACATGCTTGGTGAAGTGGAGGGACAGCCAAAGGGAGGCAGGCTCTCCTTAAGCTGGATGGATGCAGTGTCTGCAACCAGGGGCTTAAACACGGGAACCGTGGTGAGGATGGCGTGGGTCACTGAGTCGGAGCCGACTCGATGGCACCTAACATGCAGCAAGGGGACGTGGACTCTATCTAATGGTGGCTCTCAGGTGACCTGCTGTTGGGGCAGGGGTTTACTGGAGAAAGAACTGTCCTAAAGATGTCCCTTCTTGGCTCTGTTCAGACTGCAGCTCAGGACCGGCCCCTGAGAGGGTGTCCCTCCTCCTGTAAGAGGTGGTGGAAAGGGCGCCCAGGTGGGAGGGATGACTCTTGCTGACCCGCTAGGGGCCTGCACTGGCTCTGGTGGGTATGGAGGGGGCATCGGATGGACTCAGAGGTCATGTGGGCCTTCTCCTGCCAAGACAGGGCACTCGGCTTTTCTCCAGGGGCCTGGACATAGTCTACAGGATGCCTGGGTTTCTGTGTTACTGTGAGAATGGCACAAAGGTTTCAACACAAGCTTCTGGCATTTTCCAATTCAGGAACAAATAGGTCTAATTATAAAATGGTATCATCTAAGGTCCCTTTTTTGGGTGATTGGTCCCCTTGCAATTTATACGGTGGTCACACCATATTGTGTAAAAAGCCAAACCAACCAACTATCCCCCACCTCCCCCAATATGGTCTTATCCAAAATGTTGCCAGGTTTTAAGGATTTTAAAGGGTTCTTTTTTTTTTTTTTTAGTGTTCTTAAAGGAGAACACTTGGGGATGCCTACCTATTCCCTATCTACCTAGTTTCACACAAAAACTCTCAGACTCAGAACAGATTCTGGCTCCAGACACATATACAAGTGATCATGGTTGAAGTACTTGCCACCTCTCTGCACCAGTACCAGACCCAGGTGTTCGAATAGCAGCCTGTTTACTTGAAACACACAACATTTCTTCAGTGAGTGGAAGGCAAGCAACGGGGCAACAGTCACAAGTATCACAGGTGTGTTCCAATATCAGACTCAGGTGCGTGAATACCTGACTGTTTGTCCTCAGTGCGCAGTGGAACCCAACACATCACAGTCAAACGCAGATTAGGCCTTACCTGACCATGAGCTCCTTGTCCCCCTTTCATTTTCGGAGGCCCCCAGGGTCCTCCAGGAAGTCCAGGGTGTTGGCTTGAACTGCTCTGGGGGTGCTGTGGAGCCAAACCTGGGTTCCTAGAGAAGAGCCTCCTGGCTGGCTCCCCAGAACTGTTACCAACCCAGGTCTCCCGGAGGCTGAGAAACAGAGAAACTGGATGAAAGTGAAAGCAGGCTGTGGGTGGATCAAGTCAGGGGTGAGCTGGGCTTAGAGTGCCAAGAAAATCCTACTGGAAAAAGGGGGATTTGCAGGAAGTAAATTGAGGGGATTGTGAGTATGTAACAGATTTCCAAAGAATGATCGTGAATATGCATTAGGCTGGGGTTGTGATTCTTGACCAGGAAATGGCTTGTGGAACCTTTCAAATGCTGTCCGCGTTGGGTTGGCGATGTCTTTCGGTTCTTTGACCTTGTTTCGTTCCGAGGTCACCTATGGGATGTGACTGCCCTTTCTGTGCATGCTCGGTGGGCTGAATCAGGTCATCACCAACATTTGCTCTCTGTGGTAAAATAGTTTCCCCGGGGAAAAGGGCTCAAAAGAGAGAGAGATTATCAAGAAAGAAAGAGCAGGTTAATCATGGGGAAGGAGCCCAAGGGCAGGTTCACTGGCAAGCTGTGGAATTTACTGTGTTCTACGCCCCAAGCATAGTGGGGAGTGGTCTCAGAGGGTCGCCCAGGCTGTCTGTTGGCCAGGTCTTCACCCTGGGGAGTTTGAACCTCTGTTGAGCAAGTGTGGAGTGTGAACCTCCGACCTTTCAGTTAGCTGCTAAGCGCTGGAATCATTACGCCCACAGTGCTCCTGTGTGTTTTATATCACGCGCCTCTCACTAAGTCACTCCGCCATGGCAGCAGCACTCCATGCCCCCCAAAGAACGGGGCGGTGGAGAAGGGTAACATTTATTTGGGGAGAGCCCCTAGGGACCTGGGACAGAAGGAGAGGAGGGAGATGCATAGGTATTGGAGTCAGACTTGAGCTCTCTCTGCGCCTTCAAATATCTGGGCAGGTGTCATGAGTGGCGCGATTGATAATTACTTAACGCTCTTAGACATTTTCGAATGCTCGGTTTATTCACTGCAAACACACATCAAACAATCTAAAATATGACTCAAACTACTAAGGGTAAACAACGATAAGCACAAGGGCAGAATAACAACACTTCTCACACATTTCATATTAGCACCATAGTCCCAATCAGCATTGCCTCATCGGTGCACTCACCCCGGGTAGAGTTGGAGGAGCAGGAGTTGATGTCTCCTTGGCTCCTAGCTCTCTAAAAGTCAGTGTCTCTACCTGGGTTTAAATGGACATTTTGGCTGGCTCTTTGACATCTTCACTGTCCCAGTCAAGTCTTATCGGGTCTCTTCACGCTTTAGGTGGCTTGGCTAGTTTTTGGGTGTCGGCCAGGTCTCAGGTCAGTCTTATCAGGGGTCTCACATTTTTGTGGTGGCTTCTTTGATGTAAGTGTTGATCTGGGCCCCAAGATGACATTTTATTTTTTCTTTCAAGTGGTGTTTCTTGTGTTTGTTTCTTTGCTGTGGCTCAATGTCTTGCGCGGTAGTTCAATGTCTTGTAAGGTAGTTCAACGTCTTACAAGGTAGTTCAATGTCTTGCGAGGTAGTTCAATGTCTTACAAGGTAGTTCAATGTCTTGTAAGGTAGTTCAACGTCTTACAAGGTAGTTCAATGTCTTGCGAGGTAGTTCAACGTCTTACAAGGTAGTTCAATGTCTTGCAAGGTAGTTCAATGTCTTGCAAGGTAGTTCAATGTCTTGTAAGGTAGTTCGTCTTACAAGGTAGTTCAATGTCTTGTAAGGTAGTTCAACGTCCTACAAGGTAGTTCATCATCTTGCAAGGAAGTTTTGTGGTGCTCTCATCAGCAGGTTATGAATCTCACCTCTCTGAGCCTCAGTTTTCTCATCTGTGAAATCAGAAAACAGCTGTTAGGAGCGGACACGCTTCTTACACAGACTTCAGAGCAGTCCCTGGCTATCCGCTCCAGTGGCACCTGCCACTGTGGGTTCTGGGGTCTTCCTGGCCTGTGTGCTGTGACTCCATTCGCTTCCTCACAGGCAGTCGAGATCCCACTGTCGCTGGGCTCAGCTGGTGACCCCCCTCATTTTTCATCTCCCAGAATTCTGTCACTAGGCTCTTCTGTCACCTTCTCTTTCGTTCCCACAGCCTCGTCGGCTCCTTTACTGTCTTCAGCCAGGTTCGGACAGCGGGAGGAGCTGCATGTCGAGCTGCTCATCTTAAACCAGAAGTAGCATCCCATGCTGTGTTAGGCAGGGTTCTCCAGAGAAAAGAGACCAGGACACTTATGGTTTTATATATATATATGAGGATAGGTTTATACAGCGAGAAGGAATATATCAGCCAGTTAGTCCACACAGCAGTACAGAGGGCTCAGTTCAACTCACTTCCGTGGAGCAGTTGATATACTGGAAGTCCTTCAACTCACGAGGGCTGCCGGGTCCAAGGTCAAGGAAGCAGACAGCAGAGTCCTCCCTGGGGCAAGACAAGCAGAGTCTGTCCACAGGCAGCAAACAACAGGGTGGGTCAGCAATAGTCAGTAGCTCAGGAGTTTAGCGAAGCTAAGGGGCTATGGGACGCAAGCAATGCAAGGTGACGGGATCCACCAGCCTCAAGCTCAAGCCATGTTCGTGAAGCAAGTCTTGAAGGAACCTCAAGCTCTAGGGACACGATCCGTGGGTTGGCCTGGCCCACAGGTAATGTAGCTCACAGGTTGAGGCAGAGAATTAACTGCAGCAGCAGCAGCACACACACTCCAGCATGCTCCAATCACTAGAGAGCAAGCTCGAAGGGGGCGGGCCTTGCAGAACCATTTATCTCTTTGCCCTCCGATCAAACTACAGCCTGAATAATCCCACGTGTTCCTATTGGCCAGGTTGGCTCAATAAACCTCACTATCACATGTGCACTGGGAAGCACTAGACTCTGTGGAAAGCTTGGAACCCCATCTGGTGTGAGCCTTTCTCGAGGCAGGTGTGGATACATGCTGTATAGGAGGTTGGATGAGGGCTCTTTGACGGAATCGCTCAGCCTCAGTGTCCTGTGGTGTCAAAAGTGTGCCCCCAGCTCTGCCTGCAAAGGTGAAGTGGGTTGGTGGCTGCGGAAGAGGGAGGCCATAGTCACCTTCTGGCTTGGAGTCATCACCTTCATCTTCATCCAGTGCCTGGTCAAGGCGATGGACCCTTGGCACCGCCGGGAAACCAGGTGGCTCTCCCGTAGACAGGCGGATCCCCACAAATGAGCGTGAGTACCGACTGCCTCATTTCTTGCCAGAGACCTCCAGTCTGGCTGGCAGAGTGACGACCCACTGGCCAATTGGACGGGGTTCTTTAATGTCACCGATGACCAAGCAGTGCAGAGCGGCAGTGACTCCAGCTCCAGGTACTGACCTTGTGAAGGGCTAGGGTGGGGGGAAGCCCTTGCCCCACTGCCCCTTCCCCACCCAGCTGCCTTAGGATAGGCTTGTTTCCGTGGTTTAAAGCTCACCTCATATGGGGACCCCGCCCTGCCTCCCTTGACTCGAGGGTTGAGTGGACATGAAGGTGAGGGACGGAGCCTTGAAGTTCACTCTTGAGGTCGTTAGTCACCCTTCACCACCCTTTTGGAACACCCCCACCTATAGTCCTGCGTGTGTCCAAAGGCCTGTTTGCTCCCCTCCCAGTGAAGCTTCACCCAGCCACATCTGCTCTCAGGGACGGCGGGGTGGACTTCTCTTTTGCCTAAGAGTCTCTGGGCACCCACTCCACCCGGAGCAGGGATGTGGGTTATGAAGTCTGGACTTCCAGCCCCCATCTGAGGTGGAGCAGATATTCTGCCCTCTGCTGCAGGGATTCTGTGTGTGTGTGTGTGTGTGTCCTGGGTGTGTCCCTCTCCTCTGGTCCCTCTCCTCCACAGGTGAGGTGACATTGGCCCGGGGAGCCGTTTTCATTAAGAGAGCACCATGGTGTGGTCCTGCCTTTGGGGGCGGTTGCCGACTTTGAAGCCAAGCTTAGCAGCTGAGGGCCTGCTGTAGCGTCAGGAGCGGGCCTTTATAGTGGTTGAGTGCATTATAGTTGTTGAGTGTCGTTGTTGAGTGCATTATAGTTGTTGAGTGTCGTTGTTGAGTACATGATAGTTGTTGAGTGCATTAAAGTAGAATATTTCAAAGGGGACAGCACACTCACTTCAGAGTTCACCGTGGTGAACTTTCATCGTGAAACTGACACCTGCCAGTCAAGGGCTGATGAATCTGTTTTGCATATATATATATATATATGTATAATTTGTTTATATATTTATTTATTTTTGAATTTTGAGCTGTAGGTTAACTTTCAGGTTCATTTCCCTGGGAAAAAGGCCTGAGTTTGCATGCTATTCATTTGGGTACTGAAGCCTCACATTAACCATGCTGAGGAGGGAATGTGTTTTTCAGGGACCCTCAATGAGTGTTCCTTTCGTTCCACACTTTGAAAAGGTAAAATGTATGGATCCAGGATCAGAAAACACCAGAGGTCTCGCCCACAGCCAGGCCTGAGGGCGTGGAGGCAGCGGTACACGATGGCCCCGCCTTGAG